CTCCGTTAACTTTGTGGTCCCATAAATTGAGATGGTTTATTTTTTGAGTCTGCTGATAAGATGGCACTTGAATGTATTTGTTTCCATACTCAGACATTTGAGATATTCTCATAGTTATTTTCTAAGTTGATAAGTGAGTACTCAGGATTACTCGTGTATTTATTTAAAGTTATTGATAAGTGAGAGAACACATTTTCCTTAGTAAGAAATCTGAGGCACTTTTTCTTTATAAAGGTTGAGGGTTCAAATGTTAAACTTGTTTCCACACATACTTGAAAAGTATTTGACTGTATTACTTTCAAAGCTACTGTTAGGTAACTAAAGATGTGTTATATTTTACAAGGTAAGCAAAAATAAATGTTGCCTTTAGTTCCAAAGATTGCTACTGTTTACTGTTTTAGAATCACTATTTTACCTTGTAAATTTGCATTTTTTGAGCATGACCAGTTAAAAGTAAAATAAACATTTCCCAAAGCTTTAATTAACTAGCACAACAAAGTAGTTAATCCTGGAACAGACACTCTTTGTTAATATTGATTGAGAATCGATTTGGAATCGAATCGGCACCCTGAGAATCGGAATCGAATCAAATCGTGAGTTGCTCTAAGATTCACATCCCTACTAATTAGTGGACATACCTTGAATTAACATTCAGTCACATTATTTTCAGTCTAGTCTAGGGGCACTGTACATGGTTGAAAATCAATGTGTGACTTTCATTGGTTGAAGTTCATAGAATTTGTATTTATTGTTACTTTTGTCGGATTTAAGTTATTCCTGTGACCACTGAGTTTTTCTTTCATTGAACGAAGGGTACCAACAGTTTAGTCTACATCTTGCATATTGTGGCATAGCAGAGCCAAGCAGCCTGCTCAGGCGGCTGCAAAGACTTATGGGTAATGGGCTTTAAGTCTTAGTTATAGAGTTCTTCAGTGTTATCTTATGGTTTGACATTATATTTTTGTGTTTCAATGGATACCTGTTCTTTAATTATCCTTCAAGTTCTGTTGGTGTCAATATTTGGTGGTATTTGTTCGTCACCATGACAGAGTAGGGGGTGCATGAGAATGACCTGCCTGACATCCGGTTGTTAACTGCAAGTAAGTGATTGCAAGAGTTGTTAACAAACGGCTTCTCATTGTCAATCCATGTTTGACACTTGAGGTGTGCAATAAAGCTGTTTCTCCAGTGACTCATTTCCTGTGATGTCTCAATATATAAACACAGAAAATTTACTTAATACATAAAAAAAATTGCCTTTTGCAGATAGTTTGACTGGTAAACTCTCCAAGCTGATGCTGAATTGTAGAAACAGTCCTCAACAGATGTTTGTTTTAAATTATTTTAATAACTGATGCCATCGTATGGCTCAAGCTGAACTACAATGTATTTCTTCATAATTGACTTCAACTCCTCGGAGACTTCAGCTTGTTATCCAGTGGATTGTTAATGCATGTTTGTGTGTTTCTCTCTCAGCTTTGAGTCATTAGAGCATGAATAAAACTGCAGCCAATTAATATTTAAGTGCAACTCTTTCAGACTGATGACTGGCACACAGTGACCTCCACTCAGGATGGATCTATGATTTCTGACTCCTGCATAATGAGTTTTTTTTTCTACTTATCGTACCGACCCAACAGACAAGATGACATAATCATGTAATATTTATAATACCATGCATGTATGTGAGTGGGTGGTTGTGTTATTAATGTGTTTTTCTCAGATAATGCACCGTCTCATACATAATGCATCAAAGAAACTGCACTTGTCCACCTTTTCCACTTGAACGCTTACCCTCCATCTCTTTCAGGTCATCTGTATAAAACCATTTCATTTGCTCTTATTGATCCATGCTGTTGCTGTATTTGCTAAGCCAATAAAACGCCTGCAAGGAGACACATTGATTCAAGTGTGAAACCACCCTGTGAGCTTCAGCGTCCCGCTCTGCAAAGTGTAAATCGCTCTGGGTTAGGGTTGCCACAGTGTCAGAATTTAACCTCACGGTTTTCGGTATTATCGCGGTATGTTTTTTTAAACGTGTTACATTTTCAGACAACTAAATAAACCTGGTGTATCAGGAAAATATTGTCCTCAGTTTGTGTCTAAATTTTGCTTAAAATGTGTTATTTTGCAATTATGTTGTTTATTTGTTTACATTTTTCCCCTTTAGTCTTTAAAATACCAACATTTGCCCATAACTTCTTATTTTATGTCTGTTTGATGTCATCATTTAAAAATATTAGATCAGATGATACTCAGTACTCAAGTAGCCTTCTAATCAGATACTTTTTTACCCTTACTTGAGTAATAAACCCTATATCAGGAAAATATTGTCCTCGGTTTGTGTCCTTCCAGTGAGCTTTGCAGATGTGGGAAAATGTCATTAGGCAGTAATCATTGTTAAATTCATAATTATTCTCAGAGAGAGACCAACTCTTATCTGCCCCTGGGAGCCCCGTAATGCATAACGTAATTTCAACATGGGGGTGTCCGCGACACGGTTTATATGCAGGTAGCGGCGCTGCGGCTGCTTTATATAGCGACTCGTTGCATTCTCCCTCAACTCAAATCCTCGGATCACGCATTGTAGCTTAAACGCTAACGTTAGCTTGCCTTGCGTTGACTGTAGAGTTGTGGGTGATGGACACGCAGATGTGTCATGAGATTAGAAGCGTTGCTGCCTTTCACAGACACTTTCTGCACGTGCTGCAAACAGGATAGCCGTCTTCTATAAAATGTCCCTCGGCATTCTTCAAATATCCCAAAAATGCCCGTACTTCCCACTTTGTCGTCTTTGAGGGATATTAAATGTCCTGAGCGCTGCCGTCTCCTCCTTTGGCCATTATTTCAGCTTTAACTTCATGAAAGTTTTGGTTGTAAACAACAAAGTGCGCATGTGCCGCCGGCAACTTCAGCAGATGATACATACGGTGGCTGGTAAGGGTCACCGTGCCTACACCGCAGCCACAGTAATCCACCGAGATAATATATTTTTGAAAAAAAAAAAGACGTTATTATTATTATCAACTTTTTTACCGGGGTTTACCGCTACACCGGTTACCGTGACAACCCTACTCTGGGTAGACAAAGAGACAAAAGTGACTAATTTCAGTTTTCCTGGAACAGCCATCTGCTGTACAGTTAGGAGATACAGAAGTGTTGATTCACGTCCCCAGGCTTTCATTTGAAGCTTTTTGCATCTGTTCTAATAAATACAGCTGCAGCTCTGAGACGATGTAGGTTGGGTCTTGGTTGGTAGTTAAACCGGCTTTCATCTTTTCAGATTTTAAAAAGTATCATTCAGAGATGTTTGGCTTTTCTTAGCAATGAGTCTAAATATGAGCTGCATCTATGCTGTAGAAGGAATTAATCTGTTAATGAAGTCATATTTCTTCAAAACTAAAAACTGCTCCAAACTTCCCACTTTTTCTCAAGGGTCGCTTTTGCTAATTGTTGACTTCCAACGGTACAGCACCCACACAGAACGCTCATACTATATACATTTAATTAGGTTTATTAGTCCCTGGAGGGATTTTTTTTCTTTTCCTTTCAATTTGCAATTTCTTCTTCAGCTCTCTTGCCGAGGACATGATGACATGTGAAGGAGGAAGAAGTTAGGCAGGTTATTTGAATGAAACGGGATATTTTGTCACTTCAAGCTTTAGCTGAACAGACCTGGTGGCTACAGCGTCATCTTCAGAGATTTACTGAACCCTGTAGTTGAGCTGCAGCTCTCTGTGATGCGTTGTGTCTGCAAATGAAAACTGGAGCTGATGCTTGAACAGTTTTTTTTTCTTTACTACGGTAGGCGATGATGTGCTTTTTTGCCACGAATCAAGTCAAACTGTGACCATTGAGAGAAAGCTACAAACTCTTCTCATCTATCTCCCTCTCCCCCTCAGTCTTGCACCCTCCATCTCCAAAATCCTCCTTCAGCTGGTTGCTAAGCAGCAGGAGGAGCGCTTGACAGTGCTGACGTTGTGCTCGCAGAGCCACTTCCTGTAAACAGTTGAGTGGGTGCTCTTTGCTCTCAGCTGCAGAGAGAGTGAGACGAGACGGCCTAAAATAACCCACTCTGACTCTCACAAAAGAGGAAGCGAGAGAGCGCGAGGGAAACTTTCACAGGGAACTTTAGCTGTTGATCTGGATGTCCACAGAAATTTTTTTTTGAGTCACATTTTCTTTAATGCCACAAAGCTGAACACAGCTGACGTTGGCCGTTTAGGCTGGAGAACTGGTGTCATTCAGCACACAGAGGAGCTGTTTGTGCCACTAGACAACGATTGATTTTCACTTAATGCTGAAACAGCCACACTTATTCTAACAAATGAAATCAGGATATGTTATCTGTTTCACCACAAACATATGTTTGGTTTTTTTCTTCCTTTTTAGATGTGTGTGTCTATTAAAGCTGTTTTAGCAAATTTACAGAGCAAGCAAGGTTTTGAATGCAAACACAGTCACGCAACACCCACCCCTCCCCTTGGGCGTCTTCCCTGAGACGCTTTTGACGAACTCAGAGGAAACGAGATGGTGCTAAACACCGGTCACCGTTTTCTAGGTCCAGATGTCTTTTGTCGTCCGTGACTTCAAATGGTGTTTTTCTTTTTGGGACTCTGGTAGTTTGTCCTAAACCTGAAGTGCTAGCAGCCGACTGTTTCTCCTTCCCTGATATTATTGAGCGGAAAACCCCTCACACCAGTGGTGTTCTGTTGATAAATTTGCAAGTGCGTTATGAGTGGAGGACGCATGGAAGTGCGGCAACTCGGCCAGACCGACAACCGGATTGTCTGATAGTTGCTTTTGGTCCGAAAGCAACTATTGGTGGAAATTTTTTAGACAAATGCAAGAGAACCGTGTTTTTTCTATTTCCACATAATATTTATAGTTCTACTATGTTAGAACGTTGTTAAGAGGCATGAAAAAATGTTTTAAGCTAATCTTGTCCCCACATTTGCCGTTGTAGCTTTAATTTATAATATTTGTCTTTGACTCCTCAGCTCTGTGGTGGTGAAGATGACCACGGCACGGTACCGCCCTACGTGGGAGTTGGCTGTAGACCCTTTAGTTTCCTGTAAACTCTGCCTTGGAGAGTTCCCTCTGGAGCAGATGACCACCATCACGCAGTGCCAATGTGTCTTCTGTACACTGGTGAGTAGAAACTAACAACCGGCTTCATGCAGCTTTTAGCAAAATAACCAAAACAATATTATCCACCAGACAAACTTAGGATAGCTGTGAGAACGTACTTCCACAATATGTCAAGATTAATTTTGAGAGCAAATTTCTATTTAGTTAATCTTATTTCAACTTTCCAATGGATGCGTAAGCGGCGCGTGATGTAATTGAGGCAAGCAGTGGCTAGCCCCGCCTCTTCTCTCAATGAGCTATACTCTGATTGGTTATTTCTCATCTAGTCTCACCGTTTGCATTTGTTTAGTGTTTTATTTATTAATGTTTTTGTCTGTTCCTCTCATCTTTCCCATCTTCTGGTTGGATTTTCAATCCAATTTTCATCTCATATTTCATTCATGAGCAAAAATGTTGATGAATGTCATTTTATTCAGTATTTATCCAATTATTTAAATCGTTATTTTTATTTAGATTTCATTTACATAAATATATTCTTAATTAACAAAATGGCAAAAATATGTCTTTAACCTGGTTCTACAAATCTTTTAAGACAATAAAGTTGTTTGCATCAACACGGTTGTCTTCAGGGTTCGTTTCTTCTTGTTTGGCATCACACCAACTGACGGGGTCTCGTAACCAATCGCTGTTGGTCTCTGTTCCACAGTGCCTGAAGCAGTATGTGGAGCTCCTGATTAAAGAAGGCCTTGAAACTGCAATTAGCTGTCCTGACTCTGCCTGTCCCAAAAGAGGACACTTGCAGGAAAATGAGGTAAAATGAGATGATCTAAGCTTATCTTTTATGGTGGGTCTGATTTACAGTAATGGCGGAGCAAGGGTTTGAGTGTTCCAGTTCTAACAGATATTTACGTGAGATTATTTAAACTTGAGGAATGACGTCATCACCTGATTTTCACACACACTGAACCTGAACCAGGTTCTCATTTTGACTGTTGATGTAGTCGTGCTGTAAGGCTGCTGTATTGGCCTTTTTCCTGACATAAACACAAATAGATGGACCTTTGCTGTATCTCATTACATCAGCCTTGCCTTCCTTCTGCCCACTCTCTTAGTGAACGTCAGGCTGTGTGGAAGCTGCTCCTGCTCTTCCTCCATCCTCCTTGGATGATGAGCTCACCCACTCTTTCCTTTGTCCCATCTTGGTGCTCCTCACATCGTTACTTTTTCACTCAGATAGCTTCACCGGCCCTTAATTGAACTTCACATTCTCCTGCCAGACCTTTGGCTGCACCAAACTCTGATTGGACATGTGTGTTTGCGTCTCTGTGGAAAAAGACTTTTAAGGCCTTATAGATGAGGAAAACACCTCAATTGGATCTCTTAGGAGTTAGATTTTTAAAATGTTCTTGACTCATAATTCTCATAATGAATGCAAATGAGCGTTTTGCTTCATTTCTCTGTAAATATCCAGTTTCTCTACATCTTCTCCTTTTTTCTCTCTGCAGATCGAGTGCATGGTAGCCACGGAGATGATGCAGCGGTACAAAAAGCTCCAGTTTGAGAGGGGTGAGTCAGTGTAAAAGCAGCTGTAATGCGTCAGTGATGGCTCCAGGTTTCCAGCGGGTGAGCTGTGGGCTGTGTCTCCACACACGTGGACTCTCCTCAGAAGATCCACAAAAGGGATGACGACAGTTATGTCTGAGAGGCTGCCAGGAGAGTTTCACCTGCTGCTAAACCGACGACGCCTTGTAGAGGGATCAAATAAAATGTTTTAGTATTCTAGCAATTCTGTTTTTCTCCTAATTTTCATGTCTTTATCTCATTTAAATTGAGGATAAAAATTTGTGTGACTTGTTCGGCAGTGTTTATGTAAATGCTGCACATTTGATCCATGCTAGCGATGGCAGGAACCAAGCTGTGCTATCACTCTCTGTTCAGGTTCTCCACCTACACAGGGACTAACTGTAGAAAACACGCAGATCTCATTAACTGGCACGAAGACAGGCAGCATGCTGAAATGAATCAAAGTTTTCATTTAAAGAAAAATCTTTAGTAGATCTTGTGATTTAGCCAGGATTTTTCTCAGCTCATTCAGAAGACGTCGTTTCTTAGAAAGAGACACAAAGTGAGCAGAATGAACAGGATTCAAACTGTCCGTAATTGGGTTACGCTCATGTGGCGTTCGTTCTGTGCCGTCAGAGGTTCTGCTGGACCCGTGCCGGACGTGGTGCCCGTCCTCGACCTGCCAGGCCGTCTGCCAGCTGAAGGAGTCCGACTCTCCGCCTTTGCCCCAGTTGGTCCAGTGTGCCGTCTGTGCCCTGGAGTTCTGCTCAGCCTGCAAGGCCAACTGGCATCCCGGACAGGCGTGTCAGGAGAGCAACCTGCCCGTCGCCTCCTTCCTACCAGGAGAAAACAGGTACTTTAGCTTTCTAGCAACTATTCACCTTATAGGCATTGTAAAACACCTATAAACACCTAAGTAACTAGTCTGGCCAGTCTAGTTGCAAACCTTTTGGCTTCTGAACACAAAACAATGTAAACATCAGCGTATCACCAAACCCCACTGTGCAGAGACCTAGTTTGCACATCCTACAGAAGTAGACCAGCCTAACGAACTCAAAATAGACTTGGTCTGCACGTTTATGTGACTGATTGTTTGTAGGGATAATTCTCATTCTGTTTTGCACTGAAGAAGTCTAGATTATGCAAGGCTGGAAGAGGTTAAGCTCAGACTCATCGGCTCTACTGACAAACATTCGGGTGTGGAGAGGATGTCGTTGCAGGATTATAAAATTGACAGTGGGAGACGGCGCGAATCAGAACATTTATCCACCACAATTACCTTAAAGCTCTGAGAAAATGTGCAGGAGAATTTCTGAACCTTGTCTCCTCTACCTGAACCATCCGCTGTGGGTTTTGCTGCTCTACAGATCAAAACAAGTGGTGCATTCATGTTTTCCAGTGATACGTTTTGTGATCTGACAGAACGTTCTGTAATTTACTCAGGGCCCCTCATGATCATAAACAAAACCAACAATCTCAGTGACGGCTTTAGTCATGTTTAATCTCTAACTTGTGCTTTACCCGGCCCAGCTCTTTTTTTAAGAACGAAGAAGACGATGCACCTATCAAACGTTGTCCTAAGTGTAAAGTGTACATCGAGAGGGACGAAGGCTGTGCACAGATGATGTGCAAGAACTGCAAACACGCCTTCTGCTGGTACTGTCTGGAGTCCCTGGACGTGAGTTGGATCTTGTTTCAGTCTTGTAGACGTGATCTGTCTCCCTGTGATGGAGAAGCATCTTGTTTTGCTTTTTCTGCTCATTTTCATTCAAACTGATTGAATCTCCTTGGATGAAGTTGCATAAAAGCAAATTATCAGCCTGGAAATAATGATATAGTTTTAATTGCGACATCTGGACATCTGGACCTCAGTTTAGTTGCTCCTCATCTGTTCCTGTGTGTTTCCTTTCAGGACGACTTTTTGTTGATCCACTACGACAAAGGGCCCTGTCGGAATAAACTGGGCCACTCCAGGGCCTCCGTTATCTGGCACAGAACGCAGGTGAGAACGCCTCCGCCGTTTAGTTTCTCGGCCACGCTGCAGCACCCACCCATGCACGTGTTTCCTCGTTCTGGCTCGTCCCGTCCTTTGGCCTCGATACTTCCAGATGGTGATGCTCGTGTTTATTCAAGCAGCACAATGGGAGAACAGGTTGAGTGACTTGGAGCAAGCGTCGGGTGCCTGTTATTATCCCCTTGTTTACATAACCACAGTTATTTCTGTTGGAAAGACAGGAATAAACCACATCTAAATGAGGTGTAACTTAGCACGTTTGAAAATTAGTGAACCAGCAAAATAACTGTTGGAATTTTTTCTATCAGTTTTTAGCAAAGTAGTCCGTTTGCGGTGTTTCACGTCAGTTCTTTCCTCAGCATTAGCGTACGCATTGGCACATTGTGGCGGGGCGGGCTGAGTCATGTGATTACATTACAGCATCACAGTTCTGTTTCCCTTTACTTCACTGTCATATTAGAAACTGCCTCTCCCTCTTCTTCATGAAAACAAAATGTGAGTTTAGTTTTCAAAATAAAAGCTTCCTTACCGTCTATATCTGTAGAAAACGCCGTATGTATGTATTTGTATATGGATCACAAGAACGTCACACCAAACATAAAACCACATTTAGGATCTGCTGAATCATGTATGCAGCAGTCATGTCGATAAAAAGCGGAAACCTCAGAATTAATAAGAAGTAATTGTAGCGTGAGTCTGCGGGTCTACAGCGACCTCTTGTGGTGAATTCAATTAGTTGCACTTTGGGAGAATTGGGAAAAATCTTTGAATTTTTAGCAAAAAAATAGTTGATAATGCGTCAGATTTCTAGTGTGGATCTCTGATGAAGTCACTAAGATGCACGACTTTTCCACAAATGCATCATTTGTGCATCTTGATGTGAATTTTGTCTCATTTCAGATTTAAATTGTGGATTTTAAAAATACAAAAGGGAAGTTAAATAGGTTATCAGCCAAAGTTGAAATAAAATAAATGATATTTATTTCAGTAAACTTTATTCTATTCCTTACATAACACAGATGTTCTGTTCTGTTCTTGTAGTGTGCCAATACAAAGATTTATTTTTAGATGAATGATAACTGGCCATATAACATTTTGCATATGGTGGCTGCCATAATTTTGCAACACGGCTGTTCATCAAAAACAAAAATGAGTAAAATGGGAAAATCTTGGTATTTTTTTTGGAATATTTGATTTTTATTCACTTATTTTGAGTAATTTTTTAGAAATTGTCTGACCTCTGCTGGCATCTTTGTGCAACTGCAGTTGCTTTGGCATATTAGGAAATATCAAATTCATATAATAAATTTAATATAGTAAAAATTACTTTTAAACAAAATGTTTAATTTAATTTAAAATAAGTTTAATTTGAACTACAGGTGTATCATGACTCTAACAGAAGAATACAGTTTAATCCGCATTTTCACTGTTTTTATTTGTTGTCGTCGTCTTCCCTTCAGGTCGTAGGAATATTCGCTGGCTTTGGCCTGCTCCTGCTAGTCGCCTCCCCCTTCCTTCTCCTGGCCACTCCCATCGTCCTCTGCTGCAAGTGCAAGTGCAGCAAAGGCGACGACGACCCGTTGCCTACCTAAACGTGGATCCCAGTGAAACGGCGAGGCGAGTCGAGGATGGTCCATGACCTCTTTGTCCGTTTCGCCACGTTCCATTCTCGTTTTCCTCCCACCAGCTTTGAAAAAGCTTCTTTTGGTTTTTCTTGGGTTGGGCCTTCATCCGCTAGTTGCTTTGGAATTCATCGCTCTGCATGAGGACGCCAGAAGAGACGGTCTAGATGTTCCTCTGAAGGGAGGTCAGTGGTGAGCAAAAGCAAGACTTTTAAAGCGAACACCTGCGTCCGTGTTGGTACAACTTTGGTGGGTTTTTGGTACGTTCAACCTGTATTTTGGTGAAAAACATTAAGACACGCTTTCCTCTTGTACAGACACTCACACAGGAGCCACCTGAGGATGAACTTTGACTTCTGCTTTTGTTGGTTTGACGTAAACACACACATACCCTTAAAAAAGCTTTCTCTCCTTGTCACATTCATTGTAGCTCTACAGAATCAGCCAGGCGCATGTTGGGTGTTCACCCGATTTGCACGCTGAGCGTGACTTCTCGGTCACATCTGTAACTGAGGTAGAGCAGAGAGGCTGGCGTCGCTCTCGGCTCTGTGTACAGCACGTCCTCTTGATGATGTCAATGTTTTATAATCTCGCGCTTTTAATAGAACCGCTAAGAGTCGTGTCTGTGTTGTATCTTACCGTCTTCTCCGGCAGACGTATTAAAGAGGAACGCCACTCAAATTTAGATATTATTTTGTGTTAAAATAACAAAGCTTTTCACTTCTGCATAACTGTAGAAACAAGGTAATTGATTTAACAGTAATATGCAGAAATGTCCAAAATTGAGTGGCGCTCCCCTTTAAGTTTAGCAGCGGTTTTCTGTCTATCAAAAGGACTTCGTCTCCACACGCTGCGGATTGATTTCATTAGAAACGTCTCTCCTGTCGCTCTCACTCCTAAGGTGAAGGTTCAGCCAAATAGAAATGATTAGCCTTAAGTACAGACGAGCCTACATCAGGCATCACAAGACTCAAAGCATCAAATCTTAATAAACCCAGGGAAAGCTTGTGCTAAAGGCATTACAGACGGTGAGTGAAGCCCTTTACCTTCAGATGATTCAATGATGTCACCCATAAGCCGCTCTGTTCATAGACAGTGTACAAAACCAGCTGTTGTGTTGTGCATGGATGTTCAAAGCCTCTCGGAGGTTAAGCTCAACCGTCATTGATCCAAAATGTAATCCCATCGCTCCTGTTTAGAGACTTTTCATGCAAACTTGCATATATGTTAGTGCTCAGTGTTGTGTTGGGGGTTACACCTCCCAACTACAAGCAGCTCTTCCCTGCAGGGATTCCTGAAAAGCCTAAAGGGTCCACTTATAAAACGAATGTTTCTAAATTTGGGGCTCATCAACACAAAGCTGCTCTGTACCAATAACACCGTATCTATGCAAGTTTGTACATCACCATTAGTGTAAGGAGCTGTGTCAGAGATTAGATCAGGATCAAATGTGCTCATGGCTTTAATTTAAAGGAAAATTCCCCCATGTTTCCCTTTGTTTTTAGGTCCTTTATGATTGATCTGGTTTAAAATGATTGTGTAATGCGCTCTCGGATGAGATTTATTTAATTTGTGGATTAAGCTAAGTAGAACTTGATTATTTGTATTTATCACCAACTTTTTAATTTAACAAATCGCTCGCTAGTCTAAATTTTTCTTTATTCTGGGTCTAAACTAAAAATTCTTCCTTAGCTTCATGTTTAAATTTGATGTTTATGTTTTAAGAGGTTAAATGCCCTTAAAGACAGTCTTTTCTTATCTACTGTAGTTACAATATTTTCTCTATTTATCAATAAATACTTAACCTGATTATAAAGTTCTGTGCAAAACATAATTTAAAAAGAAAAGCGTCATTTAATCGTATGAATCATTCAGACCTTTAAATGAAGTAATATGGGGCTTGGTTGAAAACAGCCGTTTTCCTTTAATCAGGGACCTTCTTCTGTAAATCCCCGTTTGATTTGCTTCCTACAACCTGTTGCTCTCTCACCCCTTAAGTTGGAATTTTCTTAGAATCTGGATAGTTTTTATTACTATTATTGTTTCTTTGTAAATCATTTAACATCATTTCTGTTAAGAAAAAAATGGTTAAAGCATCATTTGAAGAAAAGTAAATGTTAGTGCATGTGATATAAGTCTGAGCGACATGACTCATCATTTGTGATTAAAAAGGTCTCCGCTAAGCTATTCTAATCTTTCTTTCCCAAAGTTACCCAGATAGTCCTTTATTCCTCTGCTTTTATGACAAAAATGTAATTGATTCAGCTTTTGGATTTAAGATGATTATCAGCAATAGCCTTAAATGTTGAATTGTGTATCTTTCATGGACCTCTTCACCTGTATGATCCTTAGATCTAAAGGTTCCCTTCCAATGCTTTCATTTTCTTTATGACAATCGTGCCAAACAAGGTTTTTTACCAAGTACACAGACCATACAAATATAGAGTGGAAAATGTGGTTTCTGTGTTTTGTTTGTTTGTTTGTTTGTTTGTTTTATTCTTGGGCTACATGGTAGCGCTGTTGCTTTGCAGCAAGAAGGTTGCAGGTTCACATCCTGACTATGGCCTTTCTGCGTGGAGTTTGCATGTTCTCCCCATGCATGGGAGGGTATCCTCCAGGTACTCTGGCTTCTTCCTACAGGCCAAATACATGCATGTTTAGGTTAACTGGTGTTTCTAAATTGTCCCTTTGGCGAGAGTGAATGGTTGCGTGTCCTGTTTTGTCTCTGTGTGGTCCTTTGATGGACTGGTGACCTCTTCAGGGTGTACCCCAACTCTCGCCCAATGGCTGCTTGAGTTGAGCATCAGCAGCTCCCCATGACCTGACTGAGGGAAAAGCAGTTAGATATGTGGCGTTGAGCCTGCAGTTCTGAATTCAGGAGCCAAATATCGTCGTAAATCAAAAAGAAAAAGAACCATAGTGCTATCAAAATGTTTTTACCTCCTTATTTTGTTTTTGTGACACTTGAATGATCCAGATCAGAAAGCAAATGTTAAAACTGGACAAAGATAGTCAAAATTAATATGAAGTTCAAATTTCAAACAAAAAATTTCCAATAAAAATGAACTATTCAAACAAACCTGGATATGTGAATTACCTACTAGCCTTTTTTTCATAATCTGACCACATGAAATGGGCTAAACAATCTCAAAAAGCTGTACATCTTGCCCCATTCAAGGCATTGAAGCACAAAAGACTTCCGAGGTCTAAACCCCCTAGCCTGGCCAGCCATACCATTGCTTCCTTATGGGAAGCAAAGGGTCTGGTACCTCTCCCATTCAAATAACCCCACCCCTTGAGAATTCTAACCGAGCCAATCAGCTTACGTCACACACCGTGACGCTCAGTTTCTCATAAACAACAAAAATGGCGTCTGAAGCGGAGTTCGTTGTGGCTCATTCCTCTGTTCTAAATGACTAAAACAAGGTTTTAAAAACCACAAAGAGAAGAAGCTCTAAAAACCTTTCCTCTAAAAAGTTTTTGCGCCATTGCCAGACGCCATCTTTGACTACAGCTAAAAATGTACAGGGCCAACACAGTCGTCTTTTCTGCCTTTTTCCTGATTGGTTATTTTTGAGCTGGCTAGTCCCACCCTCTGCCTCTGATTATCCAGAGTTTTGTCCCCGTGGCACTGGGTATAAAACTAACACTGCTTTTTCAGCTACATAATCATATCAGCAGTAAAGCACGGTGGTGGTAGTGTGATTGTCTGGGACTGCTTTGCTTTATTGATCCCACAGTGAGGAAATGCACTTGTTACAGCAGCACCAACACCTCCGAGAATAATTTGAAGAAAAATAATAACAAAGGTTCGTGTAAATACACATAGGCAGTAGTCTAGAACTGTAACCTTCAAACACTAAAAACCACAAATATAAAAGTAAAAAACTTGGGTTCCAGCACTATGCAGCATACTGCAAGTGACACAGACATACTTTGTATGGTACTGAACGAGTACTGAACACATGATAAATATTGCATTGGTGTTATTGTGTAACAGGATAATGCCAGTACCAGTTAAGCTGAGGAGTTATACGCTCTTACTGCAGAGGGGATGAATGACCTACGGTAGCGTTCTGTTCCCTCTCCGTTCATTGTCACGTATCAATGAAAAGCTCAGGTCTAAATTGTCCAAAGTTATAACCAAAGCCGTTTGTAATGAGCGTCGTTCCTGATTCACTGCCATGGTTCCTTTGCTCTGTCACAGCTCTGCTTTGCCGTAAAGGTGCTAAGCCCACCCAACGTCTCTTTACAATCAGAGTGCTGAAACCGACCCGGCCTACTCTCATCTAAGCCAGTGATGGACCGGCTGAGGCTACAATGGAGCGTGGCTAGACCAAACGTTGCTTCTGCTACGGTTTGTCTAGATTTCTAGGCTAGGAAAACTGTCCAGTTTGCTGAATTAAACCAATTCTGGAAAGAGGAGTGGAACAAAACCCTCCGCAGTGATTCACCACCAGTTATTACGAATGCTTGGTTGCTGTTATTGCCACCAAAGCCACCAGTTATTAGGTTTATTTTTTACATATATCCAGGTTGATTGGATAGTAATTTTATCTGAATAAATGAAATTGTCATTTAAAAACAGCTTTTTGTCTTCACTCAGGTTGTTGCTTTGCTGATCTGAAACATTTAAGTCTAACAAACAAAACAAATCAACAGAATAAAAGTGAATCTGAAGAAAGTTTGAAGCTTCCATCAGGCACAAACTGACTTCCATGTTTCTCCACGTTTTTCTTGCCCTGTTTGCCGACACCTTTAAACGAATCGATTCTTTATTATGCAACAGAATAAGAACCGAGCAGCCTACGCTACGATCACTGCTACTGCATAATTACTTGTTTATGAGGGCTTAATAAATAATGAAGGCCTACCAAGTATACGGCCTTCACACCGATTAATCATCTGCACACACGTTCATGTGCAGGATCTGCATTTAAGTATTGAGAAAGCTAAAGTTTATTTCACCAAAGCTCGAGGTGTACTCTACAGATGACTTTTGGTTAAGAGCAGCTTTTATATTTTAGACTTTTAACGCGTCAAGAGATGAAGCTGCATGATTTTTCTCTGACCTATACATGTTAAATATTCCGATATTGTAGCCTTTAAATATTTCTGGATTTGTAGCATCGACGAGCTCATCAATCAGCTGTCTGTTTAGTTCACGTTCTCTTTTTTTTCCGGATTGTATTTTTATGTTACGGCCTGTTATTTACGATGTCGGTCCATCTTGTATCTGGAATATTGGGTTCACGTGTCTCTCCCTTCTGTTTTGTTGGTTTTTTTATTTTTTTAAACTGCACCTGTTACATCATCATTGACACATCTGTATTATCTGTTAATGAACTTATTATGAATTAGTGTTAATTATCAAAAAGTGAGAAAAATAGTTTGATTTTGGTCCGGTGATGACAGATTATAATTCTGTACAACTCGCATCTCTTTTTATCTCCATTTCACTAACACTGTGACATCAGGTATTAAAGGTTGTTGTTTTTGTGATTCTGCTCTCTTTTTTTGTGTGTATTTACGATTTTATACGACCTGCATCAGTTAGTGAAATGGTTTTTCCTGGTGTCCAAATTGTATACTTCCTCTTGGTTTCTGGTAAAGATGAGTTAAAACTAGGCCTCAATCCCAATACTCGCACTTCCACCCTTCAATTGTCCAATCCTGTCGAGGGTTGCAAGTGCACAGGGTGTCCCAATCCTCAAGTGCGGATGTTTACCACATCTCTTTTGCACCATTTATCTGTACTTTGCCCAAGTTCACATCGACTTGGGCAAAGTACAGATAAATGGTGCAAGAGGGGCGAAGGTTATTACCCACAATCCATTGGTGCGTGGGAATTTAGAGAAGAAGGTGGCATCATTGGCACAATGGCTCAAGTGCCTTTAGTAAAAATGTATTTTCAAACAATAAAAGTTCATTTGAGGACGATTAATGATATTTGAGCCCTGGGAGGGGCTTGGAGTAGATCCGCTGCTCCTTCACATCAAGAGGAGGCAGTTGAGGTGGCTCGGGCATCTGATTGTGGTGCCTCCTGGACGCCTCCCCGTTGATTCCCCCGGAAGAGCTGACCCAAGTGGCTGGGGAGAGGGAAGGCTGTGCCTCTTGACTTACAGTAGGCTACTGCCCCCGCGACCTGACTCCGGATAAGCGGCTGAAAAGGGACGGATGGATGGATAATGATATTTGTTCATGCTCTAAGGGTTAGACTAAGCTTTTATGTGAACAGCAATAAATGTAAGTTTTGTCAAAAATGTGCTGGCTGTTTAAAAGTTGTTGATAAAGATTTTTTTTAAGTAGCACAAACAGCAACAGGCATGCATCATGGTCGATGATGTAATGCTCCCTGGTCCAGTTCGGCAATTATTTGCACATTTGTGTACTACACACTCGAAGCTTTACTACACACTTCCTCCAAGTGCACGTCGCTGAAGATCATAGGGCGCGGTGCGAGTATTGGAAGTGGGCCAGAATAACTAAAAACCTAAATATATATGACAGAAACTCTTATGTTATGACCTTTCAGGAGACAAAGATGACCTTTTTTATTTCAATGTTACACTTGATCAATGGAGGTAAGCAAAACAGTACAAAGTCCTCTAAAGTTAAAATGTTACATCTCCTGTCAACAGTGACATTTTGTAGAGGGCATCCGCTTCTTCTCATCTACAGTTTAACTTGCGTCAGGCATCTTTTCCTTCATGTTCACACCAGCTCTGTCTGTTCCATCGCCGCTCTTTGTGCTCATCAGGCATGTGTCAGCCTTTTGTTAAGGTCTGCCAAAGAACAGGTTGTTCTCTCCCCTCTTCTTTCTCTCCTGCCTTTGTGTCTATTTCCTGCCAGATGCTGGAGCGGGAGCATTAACAAGACAACCCTGAAAATGAAAGTGCAAACGCACAGCGATACATCATCCCTCGCCAGCTGCTCTCCGCTTGGAAGTCTCTCCACCAATCGTCGGGCAGGACCACAGGAAGTTGCCATCTGTGGGCGCCATGGTGACGACGTTTGTGGATGCACAATGAAGCTGATGTGTTATCAGAAAAATAAATGATTCAAAGGCAGCGCCAGGAGGTGCGGGGATGGATCTGGCAGGGTGGATATAAAGAGAGGGAAGTGTGAATCACCTGGAAGGGAAGGAACACTAAAGAAGGAATGAGCAAACTTTTGCACCTGTTCTGGATGGGGGAAAAAAAGACGTGATGGCTGTAGACCCATCAGGGGGATGTGCTTGGGCTTTACGTTTACTGCAAATATTTCTTTTTTTTATAGCAGCATCACACCCCTTTTTAATGGACTTGAAATCACACCATTTCAGATGTAAGAAGTAATTTTTCTACTCGTTTCTGTGCAGTTTTTAGACTTAAAGGTTATAGTTCATTCATTTTCTAAGCCAAATCCTCATTTGTTTTCTCAAATAAGGCATCTTATATAAAAAATCATTAAAAAATATCTTTTGGATGTCTTGACTTTCTGGCCCATAGACTAAAATTCAAATCTAAATCAAGAATGATTTGATTTCTAATTTTGGAGGCTACAATAAATCAGTTTGCCAGGAGAGGGAACTAGAGCGCTGCAGACATGAGCTGAGGCTCTTTATAAACAAGCCGTCTTTAGCAACACTCTTCCTTTATGCAGAACAGTTCAAACATGTCTGGTTGTTACTCCTTAAAGACTCAGAACAGGAGAAGGTCCCAAACTACGACCCTTTTCCTTTGTTATTCGAGCAGATTTCAGTGTCTCTCTTGGCTTTAAGAGCAGCTCTAAACACCTTTTCTTCAGCGGTGGTGGATCTCAGTGACAGGTGTCCATCAAATGGAGTAAAAGTCGATACGAACTCTGTGACAGCTCTCCGTGTGAGGCACTGCTCAGGATTTCTTTCACAGGACTAGTTATGACATCAGCCGGTCGGTGACGTTACAGGACAAAAGTGCAGACTGATTATTTGATCTCATGGTGTGGTTAAACTGCTCATTGTCCCTTAAGACTGTGATACACTTTAGCTTCCTGCAGTACATGATGGTCTCTGTCAAATACAGAAAAAATGGTTTGTATTTTGTAACCCTGGATTCATCCAGCTTAGCTGAGCACAAAATCTGTGTTATTATGGCATTTAACCATCCATCCATCCATCCATCCATCCATCTTCTGAACCCGCTTCGTCCACGTAGGGTCGCGGGATAATGGCATTTAACGTTTAAAGTAGTTATTTTTTTCTAATAATATGGACTTTTGTGTGAACTAAAGTATGTGTATGTTTCTACTAATTCGCCCTAAATTGAAGTATTTTGACCTCAGGTGACCTGTACCAAGCACACTCAAACACAAGAAAGTAAAAACATGAATTAAGAAAATGCGTTTTACTATCGAGTCTTAATGTGTTTAAAGAAAATGTTTTAAAACTAATTGTACATTTCCACTCTCAAGGAATAGAACAAAAGTGAACTCTTATTGCCACGCCTCTTTAGTGGGATGATGTTTCATCTATGATCTTTCTAGACGAACCATTTAAAACATGAAATTGTCAGAACAAAGGATGGTTTTGCTCTTCGCAAAGAGCAAGGCACTATTTGTAGATCTAGTTTTTGTTTGAGTCTTTCTTGGATGCTGAAGTTTTATATACTGTAGCTTTAGCTCAGGAGGTAGAGCGACTTGTTCAGTAATTGGAGGGTTGTGGGATTGATCCAGGCTCCTGGCAAAGAATGCTGTTGTGTCCTTGGGCAAGAGACTTGACCCATCTTGCCTGAAGGTGATGGTCAGAGGGACCGGTGGCGCCAGTGTTTGGCAGCCTTGCCTTCGTCACTATGCCCTAGGGCAGTTGTGGCTACATTGTAGCTCATCATCACTGGCATGTGAAAGGGTGAATGATTGTGTTGTGAAGCACCTTGGAGGGTTGTAGAACCCTAGAGGGCGGTATACAAATACAGGCCATTTACCATGTATACAAGTATTGATGCGATGGTGAGTTTGGAGAGCCCTTCCAATCAGAATTTTGAGATGTTAACCTGGTGAGTATATTCTAAAAGCATGTGTGAATTTGTCGCGGCATACCCATGTCTTCATTTCACTGGGATGGTCCCAAAGGACTGCCTTCTGGGTCGTTTCAGGGACCTGCCAAGTACCTACACTGGGTATGGAAATGGCTCAATAGAATCGCCGAGCAGAACTTGTGGTTAACTTGTGCCAATTGGTTGTTAGTAAGAAATTATATCGACATATATCGCCAACCATTCAGCATTTGCAAAACTGGAAGTTGCAGGTGAAGCAAAATTGAAGGAAAGGATAATAAGCATTCACACTGCTTTAAAATCACTGTTTCTAAACTCCCAACACTGACAAAATGTGGCCAAAATCCCTCCAGAATGCTGTAGTTTCCACTACTTTGTGGTTTCCTGCAGAGTGCCATAAAACAATCCTTGATCTGATCATTGAATGCAAGATTTTACTTGACACAGCCATTCTCTCAGTCCTCTGAAAGGATTCAATTATGATGTCCTTTGACATAATAACACTTTCAATGTTATTGATGTTCATGGACTTCTTGTGGCACAGATAAGTGACATCACTAACTGCCCAAATGGTTGCAATATTCGGACGTCTTGGCAACATTCTGAAACGGACCGTTTTGACCGGAGACACAACGGTTGAGAGGACCGAGCAATTGTGTTTTCCCTGTTATCTTTCTCTCATCCAGAAATTTTCCACAACTCTTGTAGTGTAAATGTGGCTTTTGCCACAAAGCTGGTGTTATAATCCAGACAAACAAAGTCAAACCATATCAGTGTTTTACGCCATCACTCTCTTAGTTTTGCTGTCTTACTTGTGGAAAAGTACAAATCTTCAAACTGTCAGATAAGGCTCTTCAGGCTGTATACAAGTCCTGACCTGAAGGGCCATTCTTTAACAACTCAAGGCTTCATGACAGTGCCCCCTGCTGTCTGGAGACAAATCTCAACATGTTATCAGGATTTAGATCAGGACTCAATGGCCCAATCTCAATACTCACACTGCACCCTGAGGTCTTCAGCAAAGTGCGCTTGGGAGAAGGTGCGCAGTAAGGTTTCGACTACGTCGTACACAAGTGTGCAAATAATTGCCAGATTGAGACAGGGGCATTGCGTAATCGACCGCACTGCATGCCGATATGCTGGTCCTATGATAATTTAAAAAAAACTTTATTAACAGCTTTCAAACAACCAACCAATTATTTGAAATAAATTTACATTTACTGCTGCTTTGTCTAAAAGTTTCAGAGCATCAACTAATCGTCCTAAAATTAAATCAACTACTTTCATTAGAAATACATATTTTCTGAAAAGGAACTTGAGCCTTTTCTCCCACAGCAATGGATTGTGGGTAATACACTTCGCCCCTGGGTGAAGTGCGGATCAAGGGTGCAAAAGGGGCGCAATCAACTTCCGCACTTGAGAATCGGGAAACCTCACGCACTCGCACCCCTGGCCTGGATTGTGCAATTGAAGGGCAAAAGTGTGAGT